GTTTCAATCTCACTGCTGTGCACTGTGAAAGGCATGGCATTTATGGGGGAGGGGAAAAGGCTAAATATTTCTTTGGGGCACCTCTCAGCCGAGATAGAGATAGAGAGAATAAAAAGAGGCTAGGGACTGGCATATCAGCCTCTCCTGGCAGGAGAAATAGAATCCAGCTACTTATCATCCTAGCCCTGTGCCAGACTCCATTTAAGCTCCCTGCACCCTCTTGATGCGCACAATGCCAGCTTTTCAAATAAGGTGGAAGCTGGAGCTATGAACTGTCCACTACTGTGGAGGGTTGTGTGTGTGTGTTTTGGTAAGTTTTAGTGATTATACAGCAGTGCTTTATTAGTTAATTGTCACAACATCCAGTAGATGGCTATTGTGTTTCCCATTTTTGAAGAACTGAAAGCTTTTAAGTAAAGTCTAAGAAAGAGTAAAGCACCAGAAAGGAGAGTAAAGTACCTTTCTCTTACTCCAGTAGACCAATTTTCCTCTGATATTATCAAGTTGTTGATCTGGTGGTCAGATGCCACCTTGAGTGCTCAGCAGTGCAACCATCTCAGCTACTGAGATGGGAGATGAGCTTGGGATGCCACAAGCACTGCCATCAGACACTCCATTTTTCTTCTTCTACTGTAACAGGGGGTTATTTTGAGGTACCTATAACAATTTAAAGAGTTTTGGCTAAAGGTTGCAGGGGTCCCAAAGTTCCTATCATATCTTTTGATTTCCAAACCTACTGTGCAACAGGAATGACCCAGCATAAACGGAAAGAGCCTCTGGCTCATCATTTGGTTCTGATACTGTACTTTATTGTACTCTATATCTTGAATCTCACAAAATTTGGAGACCTCTTTTCACAAATAAAACATGTCCAAGATCTGGGAAAAGCTGCCTCTTCAGCATTTAGGGAAAAACAGAATGGCTATATTGAAAATACACAATTCATAACTAATAAATACGTACACCACTCCAAGTCCATGCTAGAATTAGACTGAGGTAATGTGAATGTTTAAACAAAATTAATTTCTCTAATGCACACTGCTGCTATTCTATTTTACTTGAGTATGAAATGCAGGCTCCATTTGGAGCTCTTACAATATATAGTATAAATAAAAGTAATCACTAGACTATGCATTATTTATTCCACAAAAGCTTGGTTCCATTATGTCACAGGCTACATGGAGAATAAGAGCAACTAAGCATATCATCTGCTTCCTTCATGCCTGTTCACTGTAAATCATAATGATGCTACTGTAAAATAAATGGGTTCCACAATACATTTTGAAATGGTTTCAGAAGGGTAACAAAAGTATAGGGAGAAAAGAGGCTGGACTTAAATAAATTCATCTAAATCTGGAAAAGAAGGAGGTATGGCAGTGATAGGATTACATGAGACTTCAATAAGTAAAATGAAAAAATGGAGAAGCATAAGAGAAGTAAAGGAGAGGGGAGGAATGCCAAAGGGTAGTAGGCGGGTATGGTGAGGAGGACATAAGTAAAGATATGAGCAGTGCTGTCTCTGGAAAAACTGACTCGCTTAACAATGATTCACAGGATAAACACCTGAACACTTGCCTCCTTTTTCAAAGACACAGCTGGCTCAAGAAACAAGCCCCATTACTGGGTTTCCCCCTTGATTTCATCTGCAGTACAGTTATGACTACTGTAAAGCCTTCAGTGCTGCTGGATTTTGTAATGGTTTTGTCAGTGACATTTTTTCTTCTTCTCTGGTTCCAATTTATTGAAAGTTGTCTGCACCTAAGAAAAATGTCAATCAGAAAAAGACAGAGTGGTGAATAACTTTTTCAAGTGATATATCACAGCTTCTAGTAAGTATATCACAACCTACAATAGTAACAACAATCCAAAGATCTAATTGTATGAGCATTCACTTAAACAGAACTATTTTGTATCACCTAAAAATATGCATCTTAAATACGGACCTTAGAGTTGTAGGGACAGACCAAAATTCAGTGCAGCTTACTGTATTCAACATAGATTTTCCATTTATACAACCAAAAAAAAGAAACTAAATTTGACCCTCAATTGTTTACCAATCAGTTAACATAGTCAAATGAGAAAGAACTCTTACTGTTTTGACTTATAGCGTATTATACTGAAAACAGTTGTACTTCTCTATCAACTGCTGACTTTAATAAAAATATTAATCAGAGTTAAAGTCATTTGACTTGAAGGCATTGACATTAAGGATGGATTTGTCCCACTAATATTTTTTTAATTCTAAGTAATTTGATATGAGTTCTAATATTTAATAGAAATAGTAGGCTCTGTGCTGTGCTCATTCATAATAAGCAGCTCTTAAAGAGGTCAGAGTCCTTTGTGAGTTTATTGGTATAAGACACACTAAAGTTTTGTGCTAAATATCATGTTAAAATCTATAACAAATCAAAACTCTCTTCTCCCAGGAACAAATGTTGATGTCGGCTGAGAGCATGAGCTGAAGTCCAAGCAGAAAGCTAACCTTTCCCAGTGCTGTATAGAATAAGATATAAACTCTGTGTTTGTTATTTTAAACTCAGAAAATGCTTAATCCATTACAGAAATAATAAAACTACAACCAAGAGTGATAGAGTACATTTTGGAAAGCTAAGCTGGATGTTAGAATCTGGATAAGTGCTATTATTTCCATCCATAATTCAAAATATTGGATTAGAAAATAAACATAGTGCAAACCACAAACATAACAGGAAATTAAGAAATTAGAATAAACAGAAGACTAGAACATGTGTCAGGACTGAGTAACTTATATTTCCCACTGTTCAGATGGGTGTCTGGAAGCTCAGAGGGATAGACATATTTGCCCAAAGTATTCTCAAATAGATCTGTGTGGCTGTATGGATTAAATTTAATGGTGAGTGTAGACATTTGGGGAGGTTAGGGGGAGGAGAGATTGACCTAAAGCCACCCACTCTAAGCTAAGTTGGGATAGGGGGACTATTGGAGGGGATTTAGGGTATCGGGGGTGGGGGGGGATAAACAGGCTGGGGGGAATCACAGATTCACAGAAGTTTAGGGCTGGAAAGGACCTCATGAGATCATTGGGTCCAGCCTCCCTGCTCTGGGCAGGAAAGACTGCAGGGGTCAAATAACCCCAGCAAGGTGTGCATCCAGTCTCCTTCTGAAGATCGCTAGGGTACAAGCCTGCACCACCCCTGCTGGGAGTTTATTCCAGAGTCTGGTCACACAAATCATGAAGAAGTTTTTCCTTATATCCAGTCTGAAGCCTTCTTCTAGGAGTTTATAACCATTGCTCCTGGTTTTCCCCAGGGGCACTTTGGTGAATAGTTGTTCGCCTAGCCCCTGAAGCGCTCCCCTGATATATTTGTAAGCTGCCACCAAATCCCCCTGAAGTCTTCTCTTTTCTAGGCTGAACAGTCCCATATCTGTCAGCCTTTCCTCATATGACTTGCTCTTCAGGCCTCTAATCATATGAGTGGCTCTTCTCTGGACTCTCCAGCTTTACCACATCCTTCTTGAAATGCGGTGCCCAGAACTGGATGCAGTTCTCCAGCTGCGGCCTCACCAATGCCAAGTAGAGTGAAAGAATAGCTTCCTTAGTTTTGCTTGAGATGCATTGGTTGATACATGCCTGTGTATTGTTTGCTCTGATAACTGTAGCATCACCCTAGTAGCTCATATTCATTTTATGGTCAATTATGACCCCCAGGTCCCTTTCAGATGTGGTACTAGCTAATTTAGCACGACTGAGTGTGTAAATTTGTTGTGAAATCAGGAAAATCTGGGGGACAGGCAGGGGCTGTGGGGGAGATCAGGGGGGCAGGTGGGGTCTATGGGAGGATTGCAGGGGTTGGGGGGAAGAAGGGATCCTTGCAGTGGGTTGGGAGGGACAGGCAGGGTCTACAGGGGGGCTTGGTGGGATCTGGGAGGCTCGCAGGGTCCATGGGGGCACTCTCCCCCACCCCCTGGGACCAGGGGATATTTTTAGCTCCTTGACCCTCAAAAAAACAACTTCTCCAGGTGAACCAATCCCCCACATTCCCCCTGCCCCTTCCCTTACCTCGTCTTATTTGCTCAGTTCCCAGCACTGGCAGATGCTGGTAAAAATGGCACAGGGAAGGGCTTGGGAATGGGTGGGGGTTAGGCTCAGGGGTGGGGTCTGGCTGCTGGTCCATGGGTGGGAGGAGTTGTCTGTCCTGGGCCTGGGGGGAGGGCCTGGGGGCAGAGTCTAAAAATAGCCCAATGCCAGAGAG